GTGCGTGTGTGTGTGTGTGTGTGTGTGTGTGTGTGTGTGCGTGTGCAGCAAATGCAGGTTTTAATTTGATGTGGAATAGTGTTAGCATCGAGCACGTAGAGGGGTAAGTGCTGTATAGGAGTGACTGACACTGCCGTAAACTTGGATTGTGTTCCTCACTGGCGTGTTTCTTGAGTAAGTTACTGTGTTTTCTTGGTAACTGCAGCAGCCATCGTGTAGCCTGTGTGAGGTTTGATTTTCTCCACACCTTCAGTGTGAAGGGTGTCAGGACTCCCTTCTCATGTGCTGTATCATACTGGCCCCAAACTGCAGCATTGCCCAGGGTTGAGTTGGTATTTCCGATTCTCCTGTGGTCTTAAGCTGTGTCAATCAAGTAGCGATTGAACTGAAAGCAAGCAAATCTTCAATGACATGTTGCTTTGAAGACCTCCAAATAGGAGTGGTGGGACGTGCCTGCAATTCCAGCACTCTCAAGACTGAGGCAGGGAGATTGGCCTAAGCTCAAGCTCAGCCTAGACTGCACAACTGTATAGCAAGATCCTGTGTTAAACTGTGATGGCTTGAGGTTTAAATTGATGGAAGGGCAGAAGAGGTGAGAGCAAGATAGGTAGATATGAAAATAATTCAGAGAGAGAAACATTTTAGAACAACTCATGAAGTATAATAGAGATGCAAATCACAGGTTGTCTTATATTTCAAGAAAAAGAACAAAATATAAAAGAATAATACCGTCTTTTTCCCCACAAGTGATTGATGACACTTTCAAAAAGGATTTTCTTAGTCTTTCCTAAGAGTAGGGACTGTTTATTGGGGATTTTACAAAAGAACTTAGATATGCTAGCTTGCTGGAGTGCTGCAGACCTGGAATCCTGGCCCCAGGAGAATTGTGAGTGCAAAGCCAGCCTGAGCCATGTCCCCCGTCTTCAAAAGAATGTATAGTTTCCATTCTTCTCTGCTGTTGCTTTAAGACAGAGTAACGTGGAAAGAGACGGAAATGAAGGGAACTGCAGCGTGCGTCTGTTGTTAATGAATGACATGAAGTAAGACTTTGCTGCTTAGAGAATGTGGACTGAAGGGAAGATGAAAGGCTAAGACAGTGAAGTCAGGAGTGTAAGCTGGACTGCAGTGGTGCCACTGGGGACAGGTTCTGCTCCCCAGAGCATGTGTGAAATTCTGAATGGGTGATTTCATGGTTAAAGGTTCACTTTTGTGTGTGTGTTACCCTCTTTCTGAAGTATATGTGTACTTGGATAGGATGACACTTTTGTGTGTGTTACCCTGTTTCAGAAGTATATTGTACTTGGGTGAAATAAATGATTGAGTGGGGTGTGCTTTTCAACAGAAGAAAATCTGAGTTCCATGGATAATTTTAAGGTTCTGTATACAGTTTTCCTAGGAAACAAGATGAGACCAAAGGAATTGAAATCATAGATGTTTTCAGAATGGAACCCGGGATTTGGAAAGCTATGTTGGATACTCTAATGTAAAGAGAATATTAACCTGTTCTTTCAGGACTTTTTCTTAGCAAATGGATGTAAGTCCACAAATGAAGTGTTCAGCAGAAACTTTTATAAAAATCTTAATTTTTACTTTGTTCATGAAAATGGTATGTACTAATAGAAAGTTTAGAAAAACAAGGTGATAAGATCATTTATTTTTTGTCAACTGTGATTTTTTTTTCTAAGTTTTGAAAAGGATATCATGAACTATATGCACAATTACCATGCCTTTCCATTTATATCATGTCTGGAAATGTGGTCTTAAAGTGTTTGCCTCCAACTCACATTCCTGGTTTTCCAGATCTAAAAGGACTCAAGCAGAGACCATAAAACTCAAGAGGATCCAGAAGGAGTTGCAGGCCTTAGACGACATGGTGTCTGCTGACATTGGAATCCTCAGGAACAGAATTGACCAAGCCAGCCTAGAGTATTCCTATGCACGGTGGGTAGGATAGCGAGGTCTGAAGAGTCTAGCAGCATGAGTTGTATCTGATGCTGGCTATGCCGGTGGGTTTTATGTATAGCTCCAGTAAAGTCTCACGAGAATGCCATTAGTAATGTGCAAATTCAAATGGCTGCCAGTGCTATGGCTTGACCTTGTTGAAATTCCTCTTACCACATTTTCTGAATTACTCATTTGCATTTTAGTGTTTCCCAGTTAATCTTCAGCTATTTAACATTTGTCACCCTGAGTATTTCAGATCTAACAAATTATATGCCTGATTAGCTCACTGTAGAACTATATGGTTCTAACACCAAGTCTATGTCCTTCCATAATTTTGATTCTTTGATATTGCCTTTATGGAATTGGGGCCAAATTCTCACCTTGTTATGAAAGTAAGAAAATTAGTTTATTTTGAAAGTACTTTTGAATATAGGCTAAGAATGGTGGTGATACATGCTTATATTCCCAGCATTCAAGAGACTGAAGTAGGAGGATCACTGTAAGTTCAAGCCAGCCTGGGGTACAAGAAGGATTCAGTTTATGAGTAGAAAGAAAAAAATTCTTGTGGATATATTTTCTTAAATATCTTCTAAGTACTGTGAAGCTTGTTTTTCCTTGTTTGGTTATACTTTGTACAGAATGGTCTGCTATCACATGCTTCCTTGGTTTCAACTGTTGGCATTTTTATAAAAGAAGAAAACACTGGAATATTTTTAAAGTGAATAAGCACATGTAAAGAATTACATGGGATTTGCAAACAGATAAAAGGGCAAAAAAAAAAAAAATGCCCCGTTTCAGGGTTCTCAGTCCCTGCACTGTTTCTTTAATCATCCCAGTTTGTGTGTTCTTCACAAGGGAGTGCTGTGCTAATGACTCAGCTTTGTATCTTCTTCTGTAACACTAGAAATCAATCAGAATGCTTCATTAGTCTCGGGTAAACCACAACATCAGAATGTTTATAGAACAATTTCATAAAGCGGAAATGCATGGCGCTAGTTTTAATTCACTGTTTAGTGTTTAAAAGAGGCCTGTGGTTGTCCTTGTGATTTGGGTAATTGTCGTTTGCTCATATGCTATGAATGGGTTGCCCTTATTAGTGGACAGCCTAAATGAATGCCATCAGTAGTGATAACCAGAAGTTTCCCATTTCTGTTACTGTTAAGGAGGCCACTAGGATTTTATTACACATAGAGTCAGCCTTGACTGTCAGCACATCTTATTCTCTGTAACTGAGTTGGCCACCTCTGCAGCCTCTTGTGGATTGTTCATAACATCTCATAGTCCTGGGTGCAGCAGGAAAAGTCTAATTGTGGGGGTTTTATTTAATTATTTCTTTTATTTTTTAAGATTATAATATAGTTACATCATTTTTCCTTTCCTCAAACCCTCCCATATCCCTCTCCTTGCTATTTTTCAAATTAATGGCCTCTGCTTTTCAATTGTTATTGCGTATGTGTGTGTGTGTGTGTGTGTGTATTCCTAAATGCATAAATACAATCTGCTCAGTCTATACTTTACTTCTATCCTAAGTAGGCTGCAGAAAGATGTTCTTTTACGATGGATATTAGGTAGGAAATGTTGGTTTTAGCTTTCAAAAACTATAGATAAGGTAGATTACTTTTTTTTACTGAAATTACACAGAGAATTCTTACACAGTAAAAGTGTTTCACATCATATATTTTTATTTCATATGTTTAATAAGCTAGAGATAGCACTTTTACTTGGTGCTGTTACTGACATAACTGTATGAATGGATGCTGATGTGTGAGTCCCTTTTTCAAATGCTAAGTCTGAAGGTAAATCGGAGAAGCCGTAGACAGCCCTAACTGGAATTAGGATTGTGTCTTGTTCATTCATAAGATTTCTACACAATTTTCTAAATTTGTACTTATGGTTATTGAGCAATTATAGATATTGAAATGAGGAATTGTATGTGGAAATTGCATCTCCTTTTTATTCTTAGAAATCCATTCTCACTCATTGATTCATGAGATTGAAGAAGAAGTTGATGTGAACAGACCATTCTGAGCACTGATAGTTCACTTGCCTGATCATTTTTACTACTTAGACTCCAGGCTATGACTCTGCATTGTTCAGTTTCCTAGGACTATCATAACAAATTACCACAAGCTGTATGCTTTAAAACATCAGAAGGATCTCATCTTACATTTCTGGAGACTAGAAACCTGATGTTAGCAGGGGTATAGAGGCATGATTCTAAGAGACCCTGTGGTTCAATTTCTTACCCTTTCCGACCTCAGATGGCTATACCTATTCCTGGACTTGGGGCCACAGTTCTGAATCCTGTGTCTTCAGTCACATGTTTTCTCCTATCTCCACATTTCCTCTGCCCTTTCTTATCACAAGTTCCTGGAACCACTCGAATTCAGAATACCTCCTCTTAAAGCCCTCGATCACATTTGTTATCCTAGAAACTAACTTCTAAAGTTCCACAGATTGAAAATTAATATTTTGGGGAATATTTGAATTTGCCCAGCAGCATCAAAATGCCTTTCTCTGTCAATTTCCTCTATTTCCAGTATGTGCATTTAAAAAAATTGCTCAGTTGTATTCAGTGAAAACTAAGAAGAACTCAGATGACAGTAGTACACATTCTTGAGGAGACATACTCCCTGAACAAAGACCAGGGAATCAATAGATCAGTTGTTCCACTGTCACATCATCTTCTTACATCAATCTTCGTTTTCTTATTAGTTTAGTCTTTATCATAGATAAGAATGAAAACTTCCTATGGTGATGGGATAGCAAAGTGTTTAAAAATAGAGGGAGACCATCTCTTAGATCCTGTTTTATTAACCAAGATTCTTCTGTGCCTCAGAAATTCTGAGAAAGGATAAAAATCACATGTTAATTCATACAGACAGTTGAACTTTTCAGCAGATAGTCCTGTAAGCTAAAAGTGGAACCTAATGGTGTAGAAAGAGTTAAATATTGAGGTGTTTTTTTTTAAAACCATCAAAATACCAAGACTAAGAGACAGTTTCTAAAACCTTTAAATAACATTAAATCACTCAGTGTCCCCTTAAAATAACAAAACAATTCTCTAATTACATTTCCAGTTCAATGTGTCTTACTGGCTTGTGTATAATGATCTTATTCTCTTTCAGAGTACCCATCCTACCCAGATTCAGTATGAACAACAAGACCCCTAGACTAATCAAGTAGTTTGTGAAACTAATCAATATTTTAAACATCAGTCACTCTGTAGGAGAATATATGTGCATGTTTTAGGCCAGAAAGATTTTAAATAAATAAACAAAATATAGAATCTTAAGTGTTATATCTGGGATGAACTCAGATCAGTAGAACCTAGGGACTTGACTGCAAATGTTAACTTCAATTCAGTGTTCATGAACCCAGTCTGTAAATCTCTGCTAACTGGGGGAGCAGAGGTGGAGAGTGGGGGTAGGGACAGACCTGGAGAGAAGAGAATGTTGGGAAAAGACTAAGGTATTCATATATCTACAGTGTCAGACCTCTTGACTTTCATAAGCAACTTATGTTACCTTGGGTAACATAACTTATGTTAATTTGGGTGCTCTGAAGGGGAAGTTGTTTTTCAGGCACTAGGAAGGATTCTTAGACTGTTCATACTGCTGACTGTCCAGCCAGATGTCTATGTGGCTCTGTTAATGTCATTGTTTTACGGATAGACCCAAGACTGAGTTGCAGTAACCACCAGAGTTACTGTACTGGTTTTTGGTCTTTGCATGCCCTCTTCTCCAACCCCTTCTGCAGAAATCCAAGTATTTCACTCCAGATGTTGACCCTGGTGGTACATCTAGTTAGACCAAGATTTATGTCCTCTCTAGGCCATTTCCTTCACAGGCTAAATAGTGGTTCATGACCAATGACATTAAGAACTCCATGTAAACTGAGAAGAGTGAGGGTTATCCATGTTCTTGCTGGATATGGAAAATCCAGTGGAATGAATCTGATGGAGAGCCACAGCTGATACCCTTATTGGCCTGCGGCTGGGAAGGAGAGTTCAGGTAGAAGTGGTGTGGCTTATGACTGTGGAGAATAGCCTGTGGTTCTGGTGACTTGCCCTTGACACTGCTCCTTAGATCCTGCAGTCCAAGTCCTTTTCTCTCCCTTAGCTAGCTTGGCTAGATCCTTTTGCATCCAAGGCCAAGAAGGTATACAAGTGGACAAGAGGACAGGTTTGAGCCTTTAGTTCTCTGCATTCAAAGTCTTTTATAGTTTTCACTGTGTGTCATTCTAAGATAGTCTCACATTAGGAGGTAGGGTTCTGTCTTATTTTCTGTAAGTTATACACATTGCATACTGCATATTGGAATCAGTGAAGTTAAATCAGTAGGCCATCAGAACTGGTCAGCCAATAGGGCCTTCACAAATATTATTGCTACTTAAATTGAACTAGTTGATAAATTGGAATTTTTCTTTCAGGAGAGGAAGAAACTGACTTTGTTTTAAAGAAAAGTAACACATGTACAAAGTGAAGATATGACAACCTTACTGAGAGCAATCTAATGCGAGGGGATAGGGGAGACTGCAGGGTGGTTCTCCCTACAGTTACCTTTCTTCACAGGAGACTGGCAGCACTCATCCATGCCGCTTATACCTGTGCAGAT